ATGAACAACTCCTTGTATCCACTAAATTTAAACATCGAGCACCCACTGTGATGTGACATCGAGGTTTTACAGATTGTCTACCCTTGAAGGTTCACTTGTATAGATTCATTTTTTCATTGTGCTGTGATTTTATGTTCTCCATGGCAAGGTTTTGATTCACTTATGACAAATATGTTTTAAAATGTGATGGAATTTGGAACTTAGGTGCGTGTAAATTTCACAAACTCAACTAGTTTGACTGTTTTTAGTTTTTAATGAGAATGTAGATGCTTTCATAATCGTCTAGTTGTATTGGAAACTTCTACATGTACTTTTAATTGTGGTATATTTCTGTAGGTATAATAGATTCTGTAGGCTGTGCAATGATTTTATTGAATTTTGTCTTTGCATTGAGTGACCAGATTCAAATATTATGTGGCTGGTGGGCAATGTGGCTGCTTTTATGCTATGTGGGCTGTTTTCTATTCTGAATTTACATGCTGGTCCACATTTTCACCTCCAAGTTTTCTATTGACGGGTTTTTGAAATGTGAGTATGCTATCCGTGGTGAAATTGTTAACCTGGCCCAAGTAACATTGAGATTTCTACGATGCTCTTCAATATGATTTTAATTGATAGATAGATAGATTGATAGCATTGCACCGTAGAATGGTTACAAAAGAAAAAAACCTGAATCGCCTTAAACTGAGAAAAAATGATTTTAATCAAGGAGAATGGAATGTGAGGTGAAAGGAAGAACAATGAATAAATCAGTTTAGTGGCTTTCCACACTACAACTTCATGCAGTTCTTTCATATTGTAAACCATTGTTAAAATTTAGGATTGTTCGACGCCTTATTTTGTATTTATTTATTAATTGTTTGACTTCTTACTCTATATTTATTTATTATTCTTTGGATCTTTGAATTTGTTTCCCATGTAAATAGAATTAGAATTTATCGTCCCATTGCCTTGATTTTTTTAATTTAAAAATTCCATTCTGCATATCAGGTATTTTTTCATTTCTGGTAATAAAAGAATACTAAAGATGTGAGCTATAGAATTTCTCTATTTTGATAACCTTTTGTATCACTTGCCCATTATTGATGTATAGAAAATGAGAGAATTTTATAATAATCTAACCAATAATTACATGGATTACTTGACTTGCAGGAGGATGATATACTTCGTGAGCAAATTCATGGAACTGAAAGGTATATATTTTCTAATCAATTTTCATTTTTTGTCATATTGATGTGATTAGAGTCAGTGTTGATGAATGAAATTGATGGTTTTTATTGGAATGTATGTTTTAGTTCGCCTATCATTGCATCAAGGCAATTAACAAGGCACAAATCTTCCTTGACTCTTAACAAGGCAATTAACAAGGCACAAAATTTTGATCAGCCCAATTAGATCCACTTGGTTCACAAAATTAATTTTTTTATGCTTCTTTTCTACCTTATATATGCGTAACTGTTTTAAATCACATATAGTAGGTTTAACATATATGACTCTTGGGACATGCACGAGGAAATGATAACGAACTCAAAAGAGTTTTACAAGACGGTATAGAGCTTTCCTGCCCTCAGAATTTGTAGGGGAATGATGTGTATAATTTTTGTTATTTCTTCGTTATATTCATTTTTTTTTAAGCTGGAGATGCTTGATAATGTTTCTTATAGTACTCATATAGATTATCTTGCCAGGTTTTGTAATGTCATGTAAGATGAGTAATTTTGGAATTGGTTGTTTTGTTTGGTTAATGCTAAAAAGTCTGCCACTTGACGCCAAAGAAATTCGAGGGTCCTATATATGGGCTCCTGCTGATGACGAATTGATTTTTCTCTATTTAATTATGCATTTTTATTTCCAACAAGTATGACATAATTCTCTCTATTGCAGCTAAAACTACCTATCAAATTGTGGCTATTGTTTCCGGTGCTTTGAATGATGCAGCTGCAAAGAAGTATGATTTGGAAGGATGGTTTCCTGCATCCAGCACTTACAGAGAACTTGTTTCCTGTTCAAACTGCACTGACTATCAGTCCAACAGATTAGAGATTCGATATGGGTAGAAAAAGGGTAGACTAGTAGTTATATTTTTGGATACACTAGTAGTTTAATTTTTGGATGGGTGTGTATAGAAAATATTTAGTAGACTACTAGTTATATTTTTCGGTTGATGTACATGGATAAAAATTTTAAACATAATAACAAGTATTTGTTATGTCTTAAATTTTTATGTTAGATGAAATATGTAGTTTGGAATTATTTGTGGATGAAAATTATAATAGTTGCTGATTTTAATTAAACAGGTTCAGAAATGGTTGATCTATGCATTTTGTTGAATGTTCATGATTCAATTTAATTGTTGGTTTGAATGATTTTTGCAAATTACAGATTATATTGAATAAATTGGATGGATTATATTAAATTACAGGTTTATTTTGTTGGATGTTGGCGACCAAATGTGACAATTGGCGACTAAATTAATTTTGGTCGCAGAATGTCACAATTGGCGACCAAAATTTTTAGTCGCGGAAGTTGACAATTGGCGACCAAACTAATTTTGGTCGTGAAATGTCACAATGGCGACCAAAATTTTTGGTTGCGAAATGCCACAATTGGCGACCAAACTAATTTTGGTCGCAAAATGTCACAATTGGCGACCAAAAATTTTGGTCGCGAAATGTCACAATTGGCGACCAAACTAATTTTGGTCGTGGAATGTGACAATTGGCGACTAAGAAATTTGGTCGGCAAATGGCAACTTTTCGCAACCAAAATGTTTTAGCGACAAAATGGATTAGTCGCAGTAAATAAATATTTAGTGACCAAAAATTTAGTCGACAAATGTAACTTTCCCGAACAACGGCTAAAATTTTGGTCGCGAATTACTTTTGCCGACCCTCAATTGGCGACCAAACTAGCGACAAAAAAAATTGGTCGCGGATAACTTTTGCCGACCAAAAATAGACTTTTAGTGACCAATTTTTTTGTTGCCAAAAGTGTTAATTCTTGTAGTGCTCGGTGGCAAAGCAACTCGATAAGCGACTGGGCCAAGGCTTTCCAAAATTTGAAACGGCCCAATGTGACGGGGCGACAACTTACCCTTCTTTCTAAACTTGACTTGGCCTTTCATCGGAGTCACACGGATAAATACACAGTCACTAATCTCATACTCAAGAGGTCTTCTTCGAACATCTGCGTAGTTCTTTTGCCGG